AGGGGAGAAGGGTGGCGTGGAGAGGGAGAGAATGGCTAAGCTGTGCAAGTTAGCGTAGAAGGGGTGTCGTCGGGCGGTTAGAGTGGGGGGTAAACGGGCGGGGCGGAGCAAACGGTGTGTTCCGTGGGGGATGGATCTCGCGATTTCTCATAGGGTGGAGGCGCGATCGATGACTCGTGGCCGAGTGTATCCGGCACGGGGGTAGCCGTAGGTGCGGGCCAATCGGCGTGAGCTGCGTCTACCTTAACTCGAAAGATACTCGCCCTCGACGATCCAGCAGGATCGTGGCCACGGGGGTGGTACATCGCCGCCTCGTCGAGGCTACCAGCTATCCTTCTCTCTCTCTCTCTCTCTTGCTCGATCACTCTGGTTTGCTCCACGTGCTGGGTGGGGATAACACACAGAACTCTGCTGCCTGGTGGCCGTGCCTCGCCGTGTTACTTATCCATTATAACACTCCAAGATCTTGATTTAAGCCTGCAGCCAGCGGTGAGCTTTTAACCAATTAGCCTTTATAGCCTATCCTCCCCTCTCGACACCCCCCTCGTTCACTCTCTACTACTGCTACACCGCTGCTGCTACTACACCCCCTGTGCCCGCTTACCACCCCTACGTGTGTGTGTTCGTCAGTCGTTCCCCTTCTCTCTCTCTTGCTCTGTCTACGTTTTAGCTCACTTTACCTCGTTGTCTCTCTCTCTCTCTCTCTCTCTCTCTCCCTCCCTCTCTCTGGCTAACCGGTGTTCCATACGTTGGTAGTTGCCGGTGTACACCTATATATTCACCTCTCTCCGCTTCACGTATACCGACGTCCTCTCTCGCCGCAGTCGCGCGATGTACCCACCTAATCTACTGCTCTTCTCTCCTACTCCTCCTGCTACCCTCCTCCTCCTCTTTTCTCTCCCCCACACCCCTCGTTCCTGCCCACGCTTCCTCTCTAGTTACCTCTATCCGTTAGCTTCCCTCTTTTTCCACGCCATCCGGCCCTCTCCTTTCTCGCTCTCTATAACCACATGCATTATGCGCGTCGGTGTATCAGAGCCGCGTATTCGCGCGTGCAAATACCCCGAGAGCACGTAGCCGGCCCGTAAGCCAGGGGGTGAGCGCCAGAGTTCCCCGAGTCAGAGAGTCTCTTGCCTCCTTCTGTGAAATGTCCATGTCTCTCTCTCTCTCACTCTCTCTCTCTCTGTCTTGCACGAGAGCTACTCGTCCAGGCTTAAATACGCGCCGCGGTCTACGGGAATTAAGAGTGGACCGCGCGCGATCCCACAGCGATACTGATTGTCTCGGCGTACTCTTTTAGCAGGATGCTTGTGTGCAGCTTTTGTTGTTCTTTTGCTTTCCGGGACTGTTGTTTGGTCGATGCTTTGGGATAGGTTTGATTTTTTAGACGATCTGTGGTGTTTTTACTGTCGCGGAATTTGAGGGTGAAGGACAGGTTTAGGTTTTGGTTGAATTTTTGTGTCGTTGATCTGGCGGATTGGTAATGGTGTTGGGATTGACGGAGGTGGAGGAATTTGTTCACTTTTGAGGAGAGTTGATGGAACTAATTGATACGTTTGTTTGGGTTAATTGTAAGCTGGTAATCTTCTCGACGGTTTTATGAGAATTTGTGCGTTTGGTACAGTTCTTTTTTTTTACTAATTGGCTGTTCGCCTTTTCTGAGGCCACTTCCGGTATCGCTGTACTTTGGTTCGTGGATCTTTGTTGATCTTCGTGGAATAAATCGAAGAAACACCTTTTTGCATTCTTTCACAAACGCTTTTTAAATTTGCAAAACAGTGTTGTACTATTTTTAATAACTTTGATACTGTTCTTACAATTGGTCCACGATTTTAGGCCTCATGCTGTGGTCTAGCATTTCACCTAACCTAACTTAATTATTTGTCCAACAAAAGTGTGAAAATAAATTCTATAGAACGTGTGTGAATTGGTCCACGACCAAATTCTGAAGACAGCGTTATTCTATTTTTAATAATCTCCATACTATCATAATGTCCACCATGAAACCTAACCTATCCTAACTTATTTGTCCAAAGTGTGAAAATAAATTCTAAAGAAAATATCGAATTGGTCCACGATTAAATCCTCAAGACAGTGTTACACTGTTTTTAATAACCTCCCTAATGTCTTCATAATTTCAAAAATTGATCGTCAATTGGTCCACGATTTTAACCTAACCTAACCTAACTTATTTCTCCAATGAAACTGTAAAAATAAACTTAAAAAAAAGTATCGAATTGGTCCACCATTTTAGGCCTACCGCAATTCTAACCGAACCTAACCTAACTTAAATATCAGTCGAATCTTAGTGCGAAAATAAATTTCGAAAATAGTGTGAATTTAAGTTTCGTCAAAGGTTCACCAAAGACACGTTTAATTAGCAAGTAAACGCGAGTGTCTTGGCAAATAATCGGCGGTGAAAATGAGGTAAAAGTACGAGGTGTGTGGGGCGTAATGGTTCGTTCATGTCGGCGAATCCATCCACAAAAGTGGTGTTCTAGCCGGTGGATCTCGAAAATGGTAGAGGGAGAATGATTACACAGGCTGCGGCGTAGACGTGCGCCGCGGAAGGAAAGCGTTCCCGGTA